CCCCCCCCCCCCCCCCCCCCCCCCCCCCCCCCCCCCCCCCCCCCCCCTTCCCCCGCGACAAAAATGCAAATGACCAGGGCGGGTGTCCTTCCTTGGAAATGCAGCGCCCTCTGAACTCCACACTCACCTGCCTCTTGTTTTAGAACCAGAGGGATCTCGGCTTCTGTTTGGCCCAGCCCATGCTCCTGTTCTCCGGATCCAATTCCGCGTCCTGGCGGGCACCTCGCTCCCTCGATAATGGACGTCTTCTTCCATCCATACGTTTTCCTTCCCCAGCCCCTTCCCCATTAGCATCGGCCTTGCTCAGGCGCTCCAATCCTTACAGTCGTTTTGGTTGATTTTTCACCTCTCTGTCCTTACTGTTCTTTCTCCTTCTCTTTTTGGTCCTGCTTCTGTAAAAAGTGGGCCACGTAGATTTCCTTGCCTTCCTTCCACCGAACCCCTTGCTGTTTCTCTGCCAGCAGTCCGTTAAACACCCCCCCCTTGCCCCCCCCCCCTCCCCCGGGCTCTCTGCTGACTTCTCCCCATCTGCTACCTACTGTTATTTGGCCCCTGCAGTATCCGATACTATGGCCCATGTCCTTTCTCTCTCTCTTTTTTTACAGTTGCCACACTCTCCCTCCCCAAACTGCAGAGTAATACACGGTTAGTGCACAGAGCAAAACCCAAGAAGAAATCCACAAATCTCGGAAGACACATGCGCTTAAGCACGAAGGAAAACACCAAGAATCCCTCCCAACACCATTCCTGTAAAAGAACCGCTCTTTATAATTAGTGTATCTCCTCCCACTTTTGTTTTACGCTAATAATTTTAAACACACACACACACACACACACACACACACACACACTCTTTTTCTTATATATGCGCTCAGAAAGAGAGCCGGCTCTGCGATGGAGTTGACGGAGGAGGGTGCTTATGAAGAGATGACCTTGGTTGGCACCAACACCCAGGAAAGGGAAAGGGAGTAGGATTGGGTAGAACAGCGTTTCTCAGCTGGAGTACACTGACGTTCTGCACCAGGCGATACTGGACCCCACAGGCATCTCGGGAGCTAGAAGGGCCCTTCAAAACGTAGCATACTACATGGGAATAAACACTGCTTCAGTGAAATGAAACGAAGTGGGACAATAATTGCGGTTATTTGGATATTTGCAAGCTTAAATACTGTAATGGAAGGGTTCATTACGCATTTTCTTGAGATGTGGGAAACTCCAAAAAGATGAGCCCATATTTACATTTTTGTATTTAATTATGAGTACTTTTTTGAGAAGTCACAAGAGTCAGTATCAGCTGATAATACAGTACTGAGCTAATCTTTTTAACAGTGTTTTGAATCTTCGGTAGATGAGATTCTTGAATAGTAATGTAGAAAGAGGTTTAGGGGACTGGTTGTGAGACAGAGCCAACTAATTATGAAATGGTACTCAGAATTCCAGTAACGACAAAGTTTTGCTTAAATAGGATTATAAAAAGCACTATGTTCTGTCTGTGCAGTGCTCCGCAAAAACAGTACCCACCTTCATCCAGCAGAGGGCACAGCTGGGTAGAGTTGGTGATGGAGATACTTTAGAAAGTGACCGGGGAAGTGCGGGAATCTCACCGCCAGACACTATAGTGACATATGTCATCGCATGTACCTGAGTGGAGCTGTACATCTAAGGTTCAACAAGGTGTTGTCTGTAGACTGCATCCCCAACTCGATTCTTCCCCGTTTTAAAAAAGTTGAATCTTCAACAAGCTCGGGGTTAGGTGAGTCTCTAGGTAATACTGTTAATTTCAGCTGGCTAAAATCCTTTGAGCCCACCAAGGTGTAAGGTTTTTTTTTAGAGCATAATTCCACGTATGGCATGTTTTGAGTTCTCACGAGATGTCATGACACGGAGGTAAAGGACACCCGCCTATACTGTGCAGTATTCGCCTTATAGGTTATGGGGGGAAAAATCAGGTTAATAGCGCCCCACCCCCAATATTTTCAGATTTTGCTTGGCATGGATACCGTACACCAGGAGCTCGTGTGCTGGAATGGGCACATCGGCTTTAGGGGACGGAAGACCTGGCTTTGTCCCTTGCTGCTTGTGTGGCCTGGGTCAAGTGACTAGTCCCCAGAGCCTATCTTCATCTGTTCATAAGGAACAATAATGCCCGCTGGGCCCTTTTCACAGATGGGTGATGTGTGCTCAGGTGTAAGAGCCGCGGACACGCGCTCCTCGCGAGCACGGGGTCATCTTTGCCATAATACAAGAGACACCGGCACCACAGCCGCTGTCACCAAATGTCCACCAGATGGCGGCAAAAGGCTCCTGCTTTCTCTGTGAAGAACAGATTTCTGGGTTCTGGGGCAATTAAAACAATTTTTTTAAATATGTTTATTTGTGAGAGGGAAAGGGTGAGCAGGGGAGAGGTAGGGAGAGGGGGAACAGAGAATCTGAAGCTGTCAGCAGTAAGCCCCAATGTCAGCAGCGAGACCAATGCGGGGTCAAACTCACAAACCCTGAGATCATGACCTGAGCTGAAGTCGGGGGCTCCACCCACCGAGCCCCCCAGGGGCCCTGCGTTCTTGGGCAGTTTGGAGAGGTGGGAGGAAGCGGGCTCCAAGTGGGGGGCTAGGTTGAGGCTAATCTGGGGGAGGAAGGTCTTGATAAGCGGTAAGACCACCTGTAAAGCAAGTCACGGTTCAGATACAGGTCTTACTTTAGATAGATTTCGAATTCCATTTTGGGGAATTTATCCTCTGATAGTAATTCAGAACTGTAAAAGAACACAATAGCTATCTACGTCTACCTATATAGATATAGATGTTTATTACAACATTGTGTTAAAAAACAAAATTCAACCGAGTGAATTTAAAGACATGGGGGCGCCTGGCTGGCTCAGTCAGTAGAGCATCAGGATCTCGAAATTCAAGCCCCGAGTTGGATGTAGGGTTTATATTAAAAAAAAAAAAAAAATATATATATATATATATATATATATATATAATTGGCTTTATTAAGT